TAAACTAGGCCTCATTTCAATCTCATGCATCAGGTTTCTCTCTCGCTCTCTCTCTCCCTCTCCCTTTCTCTCTCCCTCCCCCCTCCGTCCCTCCCAGACTGGCTTTGCTCTACTTTCCCGATGTGCCTGCGGGGCCGGCACTTCAAACATGGATGGATGGATGGATGGATATATATATATATATATATAGAGAGAGAGAGAGAGACAGGTGGTAGGTAGGTAGGTAGGTAGATAAGATATATTGACAGGTAGGTAGGTAGGCAGGCAGGCAGATCTTTTGGATGAATGTATGGATAGATAGATAGGTAGGTAGGTAGATAGATCTATACTGGTAGGTAGATGGGTAGGTAGACAGAAAGACAGACAGGCAGATAGGTAGGCAGTCAGGAAGGAAGGAAGGCAGGCAGACCTTTTGGATGGATGGACAGACAGACGGAATGTGACAGCGGCGGCACTTTGGGAAAGTAGAGCAAAGCCAGAGTGACTTTCCCAATGTGCTGCCACCGCTGTGTTCGACACCACTGAGCCCCTTGCACCACTCTGGTGCAACAGTCAATGGGATGAGCCTGCGGTGCTGGCACCTTGAATGCCCCCCTGCTGCCTCTTAGTTCCCCCCCTTCAGCAGCCGCTTCTGAGCAGAGCCCGTCCTACCTCCCGTAATCCCTAACATCACTTCGCACCAACTTCTAAGCCTTGGACACCAAGCAAAACCTCCCAACACTCAACTCCACCAAGAACGTTCAACATGCCGAAAGGCCCGCCCTACGTAATTCCTGCAACGCAACTACAAGGCGATGCATGCGCTTTTTACCTTGCTTCCTTGGGGAGACCCTCCTCGCAGCCAGCTTGACCTGGCCCATGTGGGGACCTACTGCGGCTCAGTGCAGGCAGCACTTCCGGGATGGGAAGGGTGAATCCCGTCTGCAGCTCTGCGCTAATCCCCTGTGCCTGCAAAAAGCCTCCAGCCGCCGCATGTTTTTTTCAGGGCAGCTGGACTCCTCCAGTGCCCCCCTGCCACCTCTTAGTACCCCCTGCCAGCCCCCTTGCCTCTTAGCACCCTCCTAAGGCATCCCACCGCCCCCAGGGGGTGGTACCACCCACTTTGAGAACCACTGCCCTAGAGCAATTAGGACTCTTTAGCTTGACACAAAAGAAGGTAAAGTGAGAAATGATAGAAGCTCATAAAATAACATAGAAAGAGTGATGATTTTTTTTCTCCTATTGTCAAGGTATCAGTGTCGTCCACTTTAATTTACATCATGGAGAAGTGAGACTGACAGAAGGGAATCACACATACAAATACGGAAATTACAGGATCACAAGAAGATTTGGATTAGACAAATGCAGTATAGGCAGGGGTGGGATTCTACCAGTTCACACCTATTCGCTAGAACCAGTTGTTAACATTCTAAGCAGTTTGGAGAACCAGTTGTTAGAAAAAATTACTGGCCTAATCCTGTAAGGAAGGCAGGGAGGAAACATTCTGGTGTTGCTTACAGAAACTGCCTCTCTGTTAACCCTTATTACATTCTTGGCAGGGCTAGACTTCCTCTCTCAGGAACATCTCTGGAGTTTTTTCCCCCTCCTTTGCTGGTACTTTGCTTGTGTGGAGTGACCATTCAAAGGTACAATGGCACTGAAAAAAGTGACTTATGACCATTTTCACACTTATTACTGTTGCAGCATCCCCACAGTCACGAGAGGTCAGGCAAGGAGATGCATGCCTCGATGTAAGTGATATTGAGTTGGCCACACCCAGACAATAACATGACCACCAAACCATGTCCACCCAGTCACATGACCACTAAGCCATGCCCACCACCTAAACCACGCCCACAGAAATTTGTTAAAAATTTGTTAAAAATTTGAATCCCACCCCTGAGTATAGGGTAATAGAATTTTAAGGGATACTTTTGCTTGTAGCAATATAAACAGAGACTCATATGCTCTTTGCCAGATAGACAACAACAGAATCAAATAAACTTCAGAACAGAAGCCAGAATATGCAGCATTACAGTCTAATCACCATGTTATAGAAAATAAATGAAAGGTGCAAAAATGCAGGCTAAACTTGGACAATGAAAGAGATTAGGTTGCCAACCATACAAAGTCAAAACACACGATCATTTGCAACGGCAAATGAAGTTAAATTAAAATAAAATTATTATACTGAATTTGTTTATAAACAGGATTGTAAAACAACAGAAATATTTGCAGATAAATAACACATTCGGGAACTGATTCATTAGACAGTGAGATATAGCAGTTAAAACCAGCTATCTAACAAAACAGCACTATATGTAGATGAAATATCCTGTGAATTGTTTAAAGTTAAAATTAAAATGTAACAGATGAAAACAAATACTAACCTAAAAAAACAGGGTAAAAGATTACTGCATTTGCCTAGAGTCCTTGGGAAATACATTTGTACTGGAATTTGGTAAATGAATAAATAAACTCATAATGAAAGAAACTTGGTGTAAGAGAATGCCCAAATTACCATACTATTTCAATAGTTGTTTACATCAGCAAAGTTTTCTTTACAAATAAATTTACAATATGCATTGAGAAAGGCACACTAATGTTTTAAAAAGCCTTTAATTGTATAGATCATGTTGGAATGTGGAAGATAATTGGTCAATTTTTGTTGATTAAATCAGGTTATCCTTTGGTTACAGTGATAAGAAATCCATTCTAAGAAATCAATTCAGAGAAACGTGGTTCTGAAAAGAAGGGAATAAGATAAGTGCAGACCGTTACCTCTTATACAGCAAATACAAGAATGGTAGGACTGAACAGGTGGCAATTAAAATGGAAGCTGAAACACTAACAATTTGAACTATTCTAAAACAAAACAAAACCTCCCAGTAAAGATTCAGAGGAATTTATTACCAGTGAAGAAATAGAAGGCAAAACTTTAGATTTGGATTTAATATTAAGAAGACAAAGATAATGTAAATCAGAAGGCAATTGCTGAGAGAGAAATGAACATGGTAGATAATTCTTTTTACTTAACTCAAGAACATATAAAGATGATTAATGTGTTGAAGTAAAAAAAAATACTCCTAGGGAGGAAAGTTCATAAAAGATAAAGATATTTTATGAATGTATGGCATTAAACTAGACTTCAGGAAAGTGTGAGAAAGAAGACAGGCACCTATAAATTATGGTTTTGGAGATGATGATAATGATGGTAACGTAAACTGCAAAAAGATCAGGATCAGCCAGAAACTGATCCTTAATGAAATAAAAGTTGACTATTCTCTTGAGATCAGGATCACCAAACAGAAAATCACACTAAAGATGGCAGGAACTTGTCCATTCAGTTGACTGGGGCCTGGTGTGATTCAATGGTACTATAATAAACAGCTGTGCATATTGGTGGTATACAATAATTGTACAATAAATGTTAACAAAAAAAGTTTTTAAAAATGCAGTAGCAATCAAAATTATATTGCCAATGGAATGCTGCATCTTAAATATATTACTCTTTTACAGATGTTGTCTTTTGTGGCACCTTTTAATATTGAGATAGCAAAACATAGGTTTTAAATTCTAGTATAGTAGGTGGCATCCATTTCCTGCACCTGCTGGGAGTGAAACAAGGATAGGAAACTACAGCCCCCAAATATCCTTATTTTCCAGTCTGCAATCTATTTCTTTTCCTCTTTATAAAAGAGATTATTTATATGTCTAGGCAACTCTATCCACTTGCCAAACACAGGAATTTGCTTCAACTGCCATAATATAAACCACTATTTCCACAGCTGAAGTGGATTTAAAGAAATAGACTTTCCATAATAAAAACAAACCATTAACTTCCTATAAGTCAGATAACTTAGGAAACTATTCAGTCTGCCAGGGAACAAAATCTGTAGCAGCCTAATTCTGAAAGCTGCAAATATGATGCTGGAAGCTAGGCAATCCTTGCTTATTTAATAATGCAATCTTGATACATCTGAAATTAACCAAAGGTTGAAATCAAACCCAACATGCTAGACTAAAATATGGTTATTTTATGGTTCCCTCTGTTATACAAATTCAGCCACTCAGTAGAATATTAAGGAATTTTGTTTTTTAAAGGAAGGGTCTAGAACTCAGTAACTGCTTCACACACATAAGACCCCCGATTCAAACTCCAGCTAAATTATCAGAAATATGAAAGTGCACCAGAATATAATTGTTTATAATGTTGTACAACAGAAACAGTTGGTTTGTTATATCTGACTTCTGAAATGTATGCCTTTGATATGACTTTGAGAGGAGCCAGTTTAATGTAGTGGTTTAATGTACTGGTACCAAACTAGAAATTGGGAGACTGTGTTCCGATCTTGCCTTATGCACAAAGCCAGCTGGATGATCTTGTGCCAGTCACTCTCTCTTAGCCCTAGGAAGGAAGCAGTGGCAAGCCACTTCCAAAAAGCCTTGCCAAGGAAACTGCAGGGACTAGTCCAGGCAATTGCCAAAAGTCAAAAGTGACATGTAGGCACCCAAAACAACAACAAAAGAAACCTTCAAGAGAATGTTGCCATAATGTTATTTTGTTTGGGGACACCAACACCATTCAACAATCACTTCTATCCTTGCAAACCATTCCTGCTTCTTTTTTTGAGGATCTTCATCCATCAATGATACATTTAGTCTTCCTGTTTCTATCAACTCATTTGCTCTTACTTTAATATATTTTGTTTTGCAGTTTGTCACATATTTGCTTTATATGATAAAACCATTGGCTTATATTTATTTCATAAGGATCACTTACCTTATTATATTCATTTTTGTATTTATTTATCACCCATTCATTTTTGACCTTGTCTCTTCTTGTTTTACCACACACATTTAAATGATCTGTTTATAACGTGTAATCTATTTACCCAACTCTCAACTTGCATGTAAAAAACCAAGCTTTCTCAGCATAGGTCTGTCCAAATTCTTAAACTGAAAAGCAGCGGGCAGATAATTGACATACATTTTGAAACAAGTACCAATATTTTAGTTACCTTAAAAAAACTTCCTCTCTCATCAAGGGACTGGGGTTCCATGGCAGAAGTTGACATTTTCTCTGGGAAAGAAAGCCCTAATGAACTAAAAACAGAGACATATTTAATGGTTACTCTGGGCTATAGGAAATTCCTTTCCAAGCCACAGAAACAGTCACAACATCATATTTGCCAAGCTTTTTTTCCATTAACAACACAGTACAATTTCTTTCCTACCAGTATGTATCTTTTTGACTTATTATTTTCCGTGAATCACACTTTAAGGACAGTGCTACTGGCATTTCCCCTCTTCACAAACACACCCATACATTGTTTTTGATACATTCTAATAGGCTCATTGTGAAAGAATACAAAGGCTTAATAGTTGCTTATTTGCCAGATCTCAGTCTAAAAACAGAACAAATACAACAGGTTTACTAAAATCCTACAAGTAATACAACATAACCTTTTCCTTTTTTAAAAGGTATTTTATTAGGTTTGATTATACCATAAAAAAACAGAAAAGACAATAGTTAGAGAACTAAGGGAAAGAGAAGTGCAAGGCAGGGAATATTTAACTTCCAATTTTCAGTGAAGTAAAATGTAAAAAAAATTGCAACTTCAACCTTTGCTTTACATTTCACAACATTTCAAGCTATTTCTAAAATAACAAAATTGGTCTGATCATCAAAACCTAAAATCAAAATTTCATTTTTTTCAGTTTTGAGAAAAAAGGCATAAATAAAGCATTGAAACTTAGCTACTTCCACTGCAAATTACAAAAACTGTAAACAGACTTGTGCTTATCTAAAATGAGGATTTTAAAAATACAAACAAGGCTTTATCTTTGAATATATGTTTGTCCAGAAGACTTAAAAGTCTTGATTTCAGTAATAATTTATCATTAGGCAGAAATTATAATACCAGGTTATTAGCTATAAAATCAGAAGGAGCGTCTTTTCCAGATATTAAGTTTTTATTAATGGCATAATCTTTTGCAAGCTGCAGATTCCTTCTACCATTATAAAACTAAAATGGCTCTCCTCCTCTTACTGTGCAGCAAGATTTCAAGGTTTACCTATATCTCTCAGTGCTATCAAGGCATTATTGTTTATAACAAAACAGAGTTTAAAAAACTATTCTCTATTCCCTTCATCTAATGATTCCTTAACACTATCCAGGTACAGCAAGAACTATAGAAATTAATTTCTATATGAGGAAAGTCATAGTTAACAAAAGTACCTAATTACTATTTCAAAAATTATGTTTTAAATGAATGGACATGTTTCTTTGTTGTTTAAAGAGGTATATCTTTATTTTAACCTTGGCAGATTTCTTTTGAAGTCATTTCTTTTGCAATCAACTGACAGCCTATTTCAAGCACAGAACTAATAGTTTCACTCTAGATTACTTTGAAACTCCGGGAACCAAAATGTAGGAACTGTCTATGGTGCCAATACTTAATAACTATCTTAATTCAATTGTTGTCGTTGTGTTAGTCCAGCTGTACTTGTAAAGGATGAGATTTGTAGGGCTACTAGGGCATAGTGGGAGTAGGGAAGAGTCCAAGTTCTGCAAATGGTAAGAAAAAGTTTTTGTTCATTTTTACAAAATAGAAGAGGACAGTATGTATGGGATCACTGATGGCCAATCACAATGCTAGTTATCTGATTTTATATACTGTATTCTTTGACTTTCCAAAAACTTTCTTGAAACTGATGTTTCATAAAAGAAATAATCAAAATCATTATTTGCTTAGGGTATGAGGGACAATATAAGTAGCAAGTGATAATTTTAGATTTAAAAAAAACATGCAAGTGAGAGAAATAATTCAAAGTGTTAGTTGTATCCTAGAAGTCCTACATGGCATAGAATATCTGGTGGACCAAATTTCTCCTATTGTATCCATTCATCTGATAAGATATGATACAGCACACATGCTCCAGGTCCCATCCTTAAAACAGGGCCACCTGATGAGACCTAAGTGACATGCCTTCTCTGTCACAGTGCCTGCCCTCTGGAATCATGTGCATTATCCGCTTCTTTAGGCAGGTGCTTGTTATATTAATTGCCTTTTTTATTTTTATCCTGTGTTGGAAGTACTTTTAATTGTAGCCATTCAAAGTCCTCTAAGTTGGATGGCTTATGCATGTGATTCACAAATAAATAAATGTTTCCCACAGTTGATGCTTCCCACTGATGATTCCCACAGTTTTTTGCCTCAGCAGCCCCATATTTATACATATGTTAGCTACAATATACATTCAGCTGCTTCAATCTACTTGTTGATTTCTCTGCAATTTTTTAAATTACAGATGAGTATGTACAATCACCATAAAATGGCACATAAGCAATATGAGAAAAGCTAAGTCAGCATTAGGATGAGAGCAAAGTACTGCAAATCTAATTTGCAGTTCTTTATAGTTATCAGTCACTGCTGCAGGAATCAAACCTAATTTCAACATTTTATTTACCAGAGTAAATCTTCAAGTATTAGGTACATTTAAGAATGTTAATAGTTTTGAAGCTGATAAGCCCACTGAGACTTCAGTGTGATTCATTATCTTTAATATCAATATAAATATGAAGAGAAACAAGATGTATGAATAATCTCTTTTCTCTCAAGAGTTGTGCACATAGTAGGTACTACTGCATTAAACCATGACTATTGCTACAAACATGCAATTGTTCTATGCAAGTTGATATGCAGTGCAGCTTTTAATCAGACACAGAACAACCTTTGTGGAAACAAATCTGTGTACTGAGTATCTCAAACTATGAGGTTATTATAGTATAACAATCGGATGCTCTAAATTGTGGTATGAAGGCTTAAGAACGTGCTCTACATTCATGTTTTGCACTTGCTCTTATATATATTTTCTTCTCTTCTTCCTTGTTTTCTGGTCATAATTAGCTGCTGTATCTAAGTTGACAAGAGAATGATTTTAGTACTGCTCTAAACCAGAGGACTCTTGCAAAGTTACTTCAAATCTCACTTTAAATAAGGAAATTAGAATTTGCTCAATTGAATTTACGCAACTATACAGAAAAAATAGGAAGTGGAGCTTACAACTTAAGGCATACAGGTAGTCATCAATTAATGAGTCTAATGGGAAACAGCAACTCCATTGCCAAGCAACACAGTCATTAAGTGAAATGTCATGTGGCTGCTTTAATTAACCACAGTTATAAGTACATTTATATTTTACCCTCTCTAGGGTTACCTTTCCAGTACTTATATGGACAGGGTGGGCGGGCTCCAGGTTCTCTCTATTAAACATTGCAGTCTTATGCGACTGAGGAGGCATGTGCCTTCTCTGCCATAACCCCTGTCTGGAGGAGCATCCCCCTTACCTTAGGTACATGACTCCCACTGTCCAAATCTTCCACGTCCCTTAAGGCTCTGTTCCCAAGCCTGGAGATAGGCTGTTTGTGAAGCCCCTGTTGTTGATGATGTTATAACTGTTACTATTGTTATTGATATGGTTTTTCCCAGGCTATAATGTTTCTTAAATTATGTATTTTTAATGGAAACGGCCCATAGCCTTTTGGACTCAACCACTCTCAAAATCCAATAAATTAAATGAATGTAACTAAAATAAAATACAAACGCTTATGCTGTATTTGTTATACTCATATACGCTTCTATCCCACATTTTATTCAGATAGCTTACATAGCTCTCAACAAACATAATGAGTTTTTAACACATAGCAACTATTAATCAGTACAATACTAGCAATATGTAGTTTATGTCTTTAATAAATTAGTTGGGGAAGACATTATCAGACTCTCAAAGGTGCTTTTTTCAGGAGGCAACTGGACTTTCTTGTTTTTTCTTTTGAAGTCATTTCGCTTCTCATCCAAGAAACTTCTTCAGTTCTAACAGGAGAGTAGGGAATGGAAGGAGACCACTACCTCCTGAAAAAAGCACCTTTGGGACAACCATGACCTGGATGAATGAGAACTTCTACAGATTATTATCAGACTCCTGATTTTTGCCACCATAGATAAACACAGCTCTCCTATTGCTCACCACAACCCTGAATTAGGCTAAGACTAAAAAAATGACTGGCCCAAAATTATCCAATAAGTTTTCATGGCTGTTGTTGGAATAGAACATGGGTCTTCTATGTCCCACATATTAATCACACACGTTCTCATATGTAATAGCTCCTCTCTTTCTGAAATTATAAAATATGTTTTGCTTCTAGAGAAGCCAACCACTTTTTCTATGGCACTAGAAAAAATGTATAATTATTGATTACAAATAACAATATGGAATATAGATGGTCCTCATTTAATGATCAACTCATTCCGCAACCATTCAAATGTATGATAGTGCTGAATGAGTGTACGTATGATTGTTGCAATGTCCCCATCATCATATAATTACCATTTCGATCGTCTTTGCTGGCTTCCAACAAGCAAAGTCAATGGAGAAGCCAGAAGGAGGTTACAAATGGCAATCATTTGTGAATGGAATTGTCAACATTTCCATTGCTAAGCAGCACAGTGATCTGACATCATGCTTTATGACATTTTTTAGTGATGGAAATTCCAATCCCCATTGCCATTGGTAAATGGGAACTACCTGTAACAAGGTGTTTATGGAGGCTGAAATATGTGATGGGACCATTGAGAGTCTGCAGTTATATCCATTCTACATTCATTTATAATCAAACTTACTGGGGAGTGGAGGGAGGAAGGAGAGGGAGAGAGAGAGAAAGTTTCCCTTAGTAAATAATGGAACTCATTGCAAATAAACAGTAATCTCTTAATCTAAATCTCTTGACTTTTATGACAAAATAAATGCTTGTTTGTCAAAGATCCAGAATGGGACCACTGCTACCAAGGAGTTGATTTTTTTTTGTGGGAATATTTGCATATTTACATATGATATATGATGGCATAGCCATATCATATATATCATATCATATACTATATCATATCATATATAAGAGACTGTGAATTGAAGTCCCACCTTGGCCATGAAAGCCAGCCATTCTTTCAGCCCAATTCATTTCAAAGGGTTGCTATGGGGAAAATAGGAAGTAAATGAGATGGATATGTTTCACACCTTATTTATAAAAATAATAAAGACAGGA